AGAAGATGAACGAAACAACTTGATCGCTTGAGCGCAGAGCGTCAACTGATTCAACTGCGTGGCGAGCGCTGTGCATGGGGTCTCGAAAAAGCAAACAATCGTCGCCGGCATTCACAGATACAGCTACAGCTAAACAGCTACAGATACAGATACATATACACATACATCTGTAGCAACAGATACAGATATAGCTAGACAGGCACATAAGACATTGCTAGAGTGTATCTCGCTGCGTCACAGCGAAGAAAAAGAAAAAGAGTTATGAGTGTGAGAAGTGTGCGACCTGTGGATACCCTGTGCTTAGAACTGAGATGATCACAGATTTTATTAAAATAATTATTATCATAACTCTTTATAAATTTAATTTAAATGCAATTTAATAACATTAAGTATTATCAGAACTATCTAATTTATATTTAGTTTTAAAAAAATGACAAAGTGAAACATTTATATATTCTCAGTCATTTCCTAAGCAATTAACATATTGTCAATGTCGAAACACCTGTGCTTAAAATTCTATAGTGAACACTAAATAAGTAAATTATCTAGTCCAAACAATTAAGTTAAGACTATTGTACTATTGGACTTTTATTCTAACATGAATTCTTAAAGAAATAATACCCTTATGTGCATTAATCACAGGGTATGAAAAGGGGGGCTCGCAGCGCGCAGGAGAATGTCTGAGAGACTCTTAAACAAACCGGCGAAACGATACAAATTTATCAATAACTTTACGTAGTATATACACAGATGTGTACAATATATATAATATATATGCATGATATGTTTGTATATAGAAATATATTGAGATCTTGAATGCCCTTTGCAGTTCAATCTCATGCATGCACACACGCCTACTTCTGCAACTGGGAATCTACAAAATACATTGAAATACACTCGTGTATATTTTTATATGTGTATATCTGAGTGTGTATGTGTATGTTGTTCAACTATAAATAAAATATATAAAATAGCACTGACTGCTGCCGGTTTATGGAATAGCGCGAGAACTGAAATGTGGCTTGTTTGTGCCGGGTCTTTCGGGCTAGCCGGGAAATCATTGCGACACATATATAATAATACATTTATCACACTAACTGATTGAAATGCCACAACTAATACATGTTGAGCGTATTTTTAGTATTTTGCACTTTGAACTGTCGCCGGACGGCATAGACGTGCAGTGGAATATATGCATACATATTTATCTATATGCATATATTTATTATTCCGAGAGCAATACGTTTCCAAGGCAGACAGGTAGAGCATCAATACAAGTGTATTGTTATACCCTGTACCGCAGGGTAGGGTATAATGTAGATGTACAAAGGGGTGATTTATTTTTCTTAATAATTATCTATGATATATCACCTTGCATGATTATCAGCTGAAATGAAATGATATCAAACTCCCAAATACCCCCATATATTTCGGTTATTGATCTACTATTAGATAGAAACTGAAACGACTTAAATAAATCTATATTTTTTTTGGAAACTGTCAAGTTCTAAAACAAATAAATGCAAACATTTACTTAACTATGACAGGGAATTTAATCATTGTCAATTGTTAATCTAACTACATATATATACTTATAAAATAGTAAACAATTCAATTAACGCTTTCCAATTGAAGAGTTTTTGCTTTTCCACAGACACACACCCATATGTACATATATTATCTAGAGAAATATAAGCCTTTCGCCCTTGAGGTTTCGTTTTTCTGAACTGTAACTCAGGAAACCTACACAGATAGGGGATTTGTTGCTTTGTTTATCAATAGTTCAGCTTATCAATAGTTTGCTTGTATAAGAAAGTTCGGCTCTGCTATAGGCCCCTTTTGTGATCTGATCTTTTGACATTAAAAATAGTTTTTTAACAGGTACCGATAAGATATTACTTTTCCCGTTGGTGTGTTGTTATTATCGCATTAGCAGCCTGTCTAAAGTTCAATTGAATTTTTGTTGTCTTGCAAATTTAGCAAGTGCCATAAACTAGAACGCAATAAACGCGAAGATAAGCAACGGCACGCAATTTGATATGCCAACTTCTAAGATATTGCCAAAGGTGTACTACGAAATCAACTTCAACAACAATGTGACGCACTGCAGGAGTCTAGTTGGAACTTCGTCGTAGACAACAAAGGCGTTATCAGGTTATCAGGCCAGTTGATCGAATTTAGCCTTATCAGAAATTCGTGGGAGCCAATGATAATGATAAATTATTTTAAGTTTCGCCCCAAGTTATTGAACGATAAAGGGAAATATTGCAAATTATAGGGGATTTTTATAGTTCAACCTTGACTGAACGTAAACATGTTAAAGTCTTATAATTGGCACATGCCACAGCCACAGCCATAGCCACAGCCACGGCTACGCAAAAAACGATTGAGCTTGGACTTTGAACTGTGAGCACAACTTAAAATGCGAAGCGAGAGAACAGCGTCAGCCACTGAGGGGAGTGAACCCGTTAAGCCAATTTCGAGCTCGAATCTGCCACGCTTTCGAATATCATTCACAAATGCTTACTGGAGTGAGTCCAAAGCATAAACAGGCACAAATAACGAATGAAAATAAATACAAAACAATTGCTGATAAATGTTAAATGGCTAAAAAATTCAATACAAACTAATTAAACTTTGATAGAATAAGAATTTGTTTTAATTATTGTGCATGATATTTACTACAGGTCTAGCCACTTGTTGTTGTATTTTCAATCAGCTTACTGAGCTCTGCACACGCACACATACAACAGCACATGCTTGCATTCCAGTTTGCGTGTGTATGTGTGGTTGTTTTCTAAGTGTGTATGTGAGCGTTTTACAGATGTTTACAATGCTATGCTTGAGACTTTGTCGCTCGCCGAGCTTTCGCGCTCACCCACTCAACTGAGAGCGAGACGGTTATGTGGTTTTTGGACTTTGAACCTGGTTTAGCGTGCGAATCAACAAATAAAATTCAAATAAACAAGAAAACAAATATCAACAGCAAGAAAAAGTTTTGTAATAATTGTTATTATATTTGCGCCCATCTATCCCTCTCTCTCTCTCTCTATATCTCCCTCTGTTTTTCACAACAAGTTTCCAAGCGGCTGCGCATATGAACGGAAAATAGAAAAGAGGGGCTTGCTTGTGACCCAAATTACAGAAACAGGTTGAAGCTGATGTTGTTATTATTGCTGGTATTAAGCAATGCAGCTAAGAGTGGGTTGCTAGGCCAAAACATAATTTTCACGTTGGCAGTCAAGTCAAAGGTGAATGCACGGCGCCTGCGTGAGACGAGACGTCTTTTGTTTTCGTTTTATTCTGTATACATACATGTGTGTACATATACTAGAGTACAAATAATCCTTTACTTACATATGTATGTATTGAAAAGAACTCGTTTCAGTAGCTGGTTAAATATACGCGCTTAATCCAATTGCGCTTAAAAGTAAAGCGGAACGAAAAAACACAAGACGCAAACACAAACACAAAAGTAAAATGTCGGCAACGGCAAAGACGCGCGCGCAATGTTGCAACCGAGCCAACGACAAATAAGAGACTGAGAAGGCGAGCGAACTCTGCGTTGGAGAGCTGTAAATGGTGCGAGATTCTCGCAGCGAGAAGCGAAAATTACAAAGAGCGATTGGAATATTCGAAATTGGAACAGCAACCATATGATCGCTACTCGCGACTCATGAGAGCATGTGTATGATGGGGTGGGTACAATAGGGTGACCATGTGCAAGCAATATTTTTATTTTCAAACTCGACTTCATTTGATATAATATTTAAAGATGAAAGACCACTTGTTAACTTACTATCAAAGTTAAAGTTGTACTTAATATGATACTGTCTTTTATGGTGTCCTTTGTTTGATGGAAGCTTAGACTACGCTTATATGCTTAAGTTATTCGGCAGACTCAACTTTAGGCTGTTCCTTGCTTTCAGCTGAGTTGGACAGACCGCGTATGCTGACATCGTAGACAACCTCTTCGATCTTCTTCACATCATATTTCAACGCATCGAAACGCTTGCGCAAGCCATCATTTTTCATATTGAGCAAACGAAAGCCCGTATTTAGATCTCCAATAAAATGGGAAATATTCAAAGGCCGCTCGTAATCACCCATTGTAACGGAATTTGTGGCAAAGCGAGATAGTTCCGAAGCAAGCAACAAGATTCCCAGCAGATAGTCCTCAATATCCAAATGAAAGCCATCCGAATGTTTGGTTTTTACTATTTGCGAAATTAAAATGAAATGCATTAGTATATATAATCGATTAGAATATATAATGTATTAAATTTACTCACAACCAAGCATCTCCGCCGCCGTTTCGCGGGTGACCAAAAAACCCGCCTCCAGGTAAATGACAAGCGCAATTAGAAATATCAAACGCTGCGTAATGTACGTCCAATGATCGGAGTAGCTGTGTGTGTATGTGTGTGTGTGCAGAAGCATAAGCAAAAAAATAGCACAAGAGCCGCCTACACTGGGCTGCACGAATCAAACTCTTACCGGTAATATTGGCCAGGTGGAACCAAGGCAGCCAGTTTCTGATACTTTTCAGCACAGGCTTCAATTTGTTTGCGCGCTGAACTGCAGGCAGCATCAACTGCAAATTAATAAGGCAAATGTAAATTAAAGAGTCTATCATAGTGATAATGATAAGCACTTACTTTTGGTTAAATCACAGTGTATAACTTGCAATTGTATTGTCGCTTCCTTTGCCAAGTGCTCAATTTCTCGCACTACGATGCGTATATTCTGCGGAATACATTTAATTCAGTACGGCTGCAGTCTGGAATTATCTAGCATTGCTACCCACCTCACGCAACTCCTGTTCGTTGTCTATATACTTCTGATAGTTTGAGAAAACTTCCATATTTACAAAATGCGACATTTTTGCTGCGAAATTTTTGTTGTTTATGCCGGCCTCTCGAAAACAAGCGATTTGCAAATATATCGAATAGTAGTGTTGCGTCGCAACCAATTTATCGATATCTACATGACGCACATATGTATATATATCGCACATGTATTTACAGCTGTGCTTTCTCTATCGTGTTTTGTACTTCTGGTCTAACTAATTAACATCAAAGTCGAATTCCATCAAGTAAAATGTCCTACGTAAGTTGATCAATTCACGTATTTCTAATTGGAAAGTCTTTAAATGTATTAATTTTATAAAGGGCGGTGGTTACAATCCTTATGGACAGCAAGGTGGTGGCTATGCTGCCCCTCCAGGAGCCTTTCCACCCCAAAACGCACAAGTTTCACCACAAGCTCATCAATGGTTTGCCATGGTGGACAGGGATCGTTCTGGTCATATTAATTCCACAGAATTAAAGGCAGCTTTGATCAATGGGCGTGGCCAAAATTTCTCGGACAACGCATGCAAACTGATGATAAGTAAGTTGGCCGGCGATGTGAAATAGGGAAATGAGTCAGTGAATCAGTCAGTGCATAAATGGGATGGGAATTCTTATTTGAATAACTGGGGTAGTGGAAAATATTTGTTATTAAGCACAGGGTGGTATCTTTGACTTTGTAACGGCTAAAAGTACATTTAAAATTGCCTTAGTTAATTGCGCATTTAATACAAATAAACATTTATGTGTAGGTAGTAAAATATTTTCCAGCTGACCCTCAGAATCTAAAGACTTGTATATTTGTTTAGAATGACGAATAGAGAGCTTCGCACTAGACAAACATTTTTGGTTTGTTTATTTAACGGTTTATAATGTTTATCACAATTTTTATGTGCTGCCCTCCTTGTAGGCATGTTCGATAACGACGCTTCTGGCACCATCGACGTCTATGAATTCGAGAAGCTCTACAACTACATAAATCAATGGCTGCAGGTGTTTAAGACCTACGATAAGGATGGCTCCGGTCACATTGAAGAGAGCGAACTGACGCAAGGTGAGTTTCTGCAGATAGTATATATAATACATCATGTCATGTAATATGTTTCTTTTACAGCATTCACACAAATGGGCTTTCGCTTTACGCCGGAATTTATAAACTTCCTGGTGAAGAAAAGTGATCCACAGAATCATAAAGAGGTGTCTGTGGATCAGTTCATAGTACTCTGCGTGCAGATACAGCGCTTTACGGAGGCCTTCAGACAACGTGATACCCAGCAGAATGGAACAATTACCATTGGCTTTGAGGATTTCCTGAGCGTCGCCATTGGCTGTTCTTATTAAAGATGACTTGAACTATTTGAAACTCTTATGACCACTCTTGCACACACGCACTCTCAGAGCCTTTTGAAGATAACTAAATATTCCGTTTACCTTTGGTGCATTTGGTTTAAAATCTATCGTTAATTCCCCCCGCTCGCCAATCACATCGTAATCTCTGACACATCGAGTATTGTTAATGCAGTTATAAAGTACAAAACAGCATATTAAAATCAAATATATATTTATAGTTGTAAAAGCAAAAAATGATCGTATTTTATTCAAAGTGTGAGAATATATATATGTGTATGTGTATACAGATTAATGATAATACATGTCTTAGCAGATTTTCTCTTCTCTTTTTCTGACAGTTTGACTGCCAACAAATTCTTTAAAAATGTCTTCATGGAGAAATTTCAATCCATTCGTTGGAAAATTTTTTATCATAATATTTCTACTCAAAATGGCAGTTAAAATATATATATGCATATTTAAAAGTTTATAAAAATACATTTGTATATAAAAAATTTGTTTTTCTTCTTCCTCTTTTTTTTTTTTTTTTTTTTTTTTTTTTGGTTTGGGAATTATATTAAAATTTTCAAGTCATTTTTGTTTTTTTTTTTTGGTCATTGTTAAGGCATTTGGATATTTGCCTTCTGAAATATTATTATATTATTATAAGAAATTGAATTATTATGAATTATTAATTGAATTATTATCGAAATTGTATAGGTTAAGTAATTGAAGCTGAACCACTGTACAGAGAAGTTGTTATTGTACGCGCTAGCACGGGAGTGTCGCTCTCCAAAAGATCGCTCTCTCGCTGCTCGCTGTTAGATGCGCATAGGTGCGCTCTCTACTGTGCAAGCTGCGCTTGCGTTCATGTTAAATTTAATAAATTCAGTACAAAATTGAACACCGGTGCCAGCACTTCGTATATTTCAGAGAGACCGCAAGTTGCTGTCTACTTTTTTTTTATAAATATTATACACTGGCCATCGAAGGACCAGACTCCTTTTGGAAGGACATTTTTGGCGCCCCCGGGTGGACACTCTCTGGAATTGAAGGAAGCTGGATTATGGATTTTGTGGATAATCAGGGAAGTACATAAATACATAGAGCACATAGATGACCAAGTAATGCAAGCCATAAATAAATAAATGCATTACTTGAGACATACAAAATATTAATGTATGTACAATCTACGCCTATGTACATTGTGTTGAGCTTATTTCAAATTGAAATTTAAAAAAAAATAAATAAAAATAATAATAAGGTGCATATTGACCTTTGATCTGCAAATAATTCAATCTCTATTGCCTCGCATAATCCAAGTTTTCTTTGGCGCCGCTAGTGTGTTACAGTTTTTTTTGCTCATTTTCGTCTCGCACTTTCGTTTTGCGCTTGCGCTCACAGCTCGCTCTCGCTCGCACATAAAAGTTCGTTCTCGCTTGCACAGATAATTGCGCTCTTAATTTACGCTCTTCATTTGCATGCGCGCTTGCAATATCGTTTGCACTCGCGCTTGCACTTATAGTTGCGCTCTCGTTTTACTGTCTCGCTTGCACATATTAGTGCGCGCTCACTTTGCGCTCAGTGCATACTCACTTGCAATATCGTTTGCACTCGCGCTTGCACTTATAGTTGCGCTCTCGTTTTACTGTCTCGCTTGCACATATTAGTGCGCGCTCACTTTGCGCTCATTGCATACTCACTTGCAATATCGTTTGCACCCACGCTTGCACACGCAGCAGCGCTCTCGCTTTGCGCTCAAAACGTGCGCTCGTCACTTGGATATATTTTCGCTCAAAACTTGCACTCTCGCTTTGCGCTCATTGTATGAGCTCGATCTGCACTTATATTTTGGCATTCATACCGGCGCGCTCTCGCTTATGAATGCATTGCACTCAGTCGCTCAACAGTCAAATATAACTCAATAGACCACTTGCCCAAATAGTCACTCAACATTTTGGTTGTTGTCTTCGCTATATCGTAACAGTCACTCAAGTATAGTTTAACACTGCCAGCGTAATATATTGAGATTTATTACGATCGCGCGCATTTGTTAACATTCTTGAATTGCTCTTCGCTTGTTGTCATACATTAAGTGAACTTTTATTTGTTTCGATTGAAATTGGTTTCAACTGAGCATCACTTATAGCATCATGACTAACAAGCGAGGAAAGAATAGGTCTATGGACGAGTCATCATCAGAGCGTGTCGAAGCTCTGTTGGCCGTTTACAAAAATGTTACAAACGACATAACACGCATTAATAAATCATTAAAAGATTACACTAAACCAGTAGAGCCATTTGAAATTGAATGTCGACTTGAGATATTGAACCGCTACATAGAAAAGGCCTTTAAGACACAACAAGAGTTGGACGACATTAACGCAGATTTAGTGCCTCGGTCAACGTTAGAAGATTTGTGTGTATCGACAAAGGCACTTCTTATGAAGCGAGGTAGTGATAGCCAACCTAAAAGTGAGAGTCCCGCTAACTCTACAATGATTAGCTCAGTGTCACATTCTAGGAATCTACCGAATATAAAGCTGCCAAAGTTTAGCGGAGAATATTCGGAATATAAGAATTTCATTGGACTTTTTGAGAGTTTAGTCGACAACGAGCCAGGGTTATCAAATATAGAAAAGTTTAACCACTTGTTGTCATGCTTGGACAAAGAAGCATTAGGCACTGTCAAGGCATATCAGGTGACAGATGCAAATTATCCAAAAAGCGTTAGCTGCTTTAAAAAAATGTGTACGACAATCAGTGTCTCATATTTTTTTAACAGCATTTCAAAACTATTTGATCTCCCACACATGTCCGAACCGTCAGCATCATCTTTGCGCATGCTGATAGACTCAGTCCGTGCCATTTACGAATCTCTTTTATCGCTAGGATCTGATAAGCAGATTTCGAATGCCATGCTCATCCATTTGGTAATGATGAAAGTGGACGCTGGCACGCGCTCTAGGTGGGAAGAGAATCTTGACTACAATAAGCTTCCATTGTGGCAAGATTGTGAAGCTGCCTTGAACAGACGGTATCAGCATTTAAGTGCTGAAGACTCATCTGGTCCACGTCGTAAGGTAGCTCAGGATAATAAGAAAAGAATTGGGAAAACTTCTCTAGCTGTCGCTCTGCCAAGTGAGCCGCAGAGTCCCAAATGCGTGTTTTGTAAAAGAACGATCACTTCATTCACTCGTGCTCGTCGTTCGCAGCAATACCTTGCCAGAAACGTTTTACGTTCGCAAAGAGCTATCCGCTCTGTATAAATTGTTTGCGAACAGGACACTCAGTGGCTGCTTGCAAATCAGCCCACTGTCGTGTGTGCTCTAAGCCGCACCATACCATACTGCATAGATACAGCTCTGAAGCGGCTCAAAGTAGCTCAGCAGTTGTATCAGCAGTCCCTCGTGTCACTTCGTCACAGATTTCATCTGTAAATCACGCACGGATAGCCTCTGATCAAGTTCTTTTGGCAACTGCAGTTGTGAAGATAAAAGATCAATCTGGATCTTATCACTTAGCTAGAGCTTTATTAGATTCCGGCTCGCAAGTAAATTTCATAACTGAAGAACTGGCAAAACAGTTGAAATTAAAACGGCAAAGATCTGGGATTCAATTGTTGGGCATTGCTAATTGTCAGTCATCTGTTCGGCACAGCGTTCAAACTTCGATAGCGTCCCGAACGGACGACATAGAAACCGAACAGACTTTGGTGTGTTACGTTCCATTTCGTCGTATCAACCAGAGAAGCACACTGAAGAGATCAAGGTACCTGATAATGTACAATTAGCTGATCCTCAATTCCACAAGCCGCAACGTATTGATTTGTTGCTCGGTGCTGATATCTTTTTTGATATATTAAGAGAAGGCAAAATAAAAGGATCCGATAACAACCCAACATTGCAATTGACTGCCTTTGGTTGGATTGTATCTGGTCGCTGCCGAACATTGAATGCAGCTACTAGTTCGTCGACTTTCATTAGCGTCGTAAACGACGACATAGCTATAGATTCAATAGTTCGCAAGTTCTGGGAGTTGGAAGAAAAGCCAAATACAATTAATTCGAATTTGTATACCCCAGAGCAACAACTGTGCGAGAAGTCATTTGTGGAGACTATTTGCCAAACTACCTCGGGTCGTTTCAGAGTGTCGCTGCCATTCAAATCAAGCCCACATTGTCTTGGTACGTCTTACGACACAGCCAAGCGACGATTTCTGGCCTTGGAAAGAAGAATGAGCAAGCAAGAAGACATTCGGCCAATGTATATTGACTTTATGAAAGAATACTTGGCCTTGGGTCACATGAGCCCAACTAACAATCAAATTCCGAGAGAGCCGCATTATTTCATCCCATATCAATGCGTGCTAAGACCGCACAGCGCATCCACTAAACTTCGAGTAGTGTTTGATGCCTCTAGCAAGTCCTCCTCTCAATTGTCGCTGAATGATCTACTCATGGTGGGTCCGACCATCCAGCCGCAGTTATGGGAGACTTTGCTAAGATTTCGACTTCGTCCTTGGGCTGCTACAGCAGACATCGCTAAAATGTACCGTCAAATTGAACTTGACGAGTCCCACCGCAACTTTCAACTTATTGTGTGGAGGGAAACGCCCACTGATCCGTTACAAATCTTTCGATTAAACACAGTAACGTACGGGACAGCGACTGCTCCATTCTTAGCAATTCGATGTTTAAAACATCTAAGCGACTTGCATGCTTCCACTCATCCAGCTGCTGCAAGATCGTTAGCCCGAGATTTCTATGTTGATGACCTGTTGACAGGAGCAGATAGCGTCGAAGAATTGTGCTTGTTGCATCGAGACTTGATCGCAATTCTTCAAAAGTTTGGATTTCCTCTCACAAAATGGTCGTCCAATTGTAAACAACTCGCAGCACAACCAGCTAGAAACGATATAGTTATTGGTCATCAAGAGGACACAAAAACATTGGGATTAATTTGGAATCCAATGAATGACAGCTTTAGATATTCCATGAACTGTCCAGTAGAAGTTCAACAGACCAAAAGATCCGTTTTGTCATTTGTAGCAAGGTTATACGACCCCTTAGGTTTGTTAAGTCCGATCGTAACTCGTGCGAAGGTCCTTTTACAGGAAATGTGGTTGCACAAACTTGGGTGGGATGACCAATTGCCTGTTCAAATGAGGCAAGAATTTGAGGCAGTAACTAGCTGTTTCTCAAATCTAAACTCGTTGCATATACCTCGTTACGTTGGCACACTTAAATCGAAAGGATGTCAAATCCATGGATTTGCTGATGCCTCAACGAGAGCTTACGGTTGTTGTTTATACGTAAGAATGCAAACAGATAAGGGTATCACTACCAGGCTGCTAGTCGCTAAATCTAAGGTAGCGCCCTTGAAAACAAAATCTGTTCCGCGGCTGGAGTTGTGTGCTGCAGAATTGTTAGCTACCTTATGGGATGCGGTAAGGAAAGTACTTGATTGTCCTATTAATCAAGTCACATTTTGGTCAGACTC